GGCGGCTGAGACAGTGTATCCTTGGGGCGCTGGCCAACCAGCGTAGCCTAATCAGCAAGCTTCAGGGCAATGAGAGACTCGGTTTAAAAAACAAGGTGGATGGCACTTGAGGAATGACCTCTGATCTCCACAGGAACACACACAAGCACATATACCTACCTGCATGCACACACAGGAACACACACAAGCACATATACCTACCTGCATGCATACACAGGAACACACACAAGCACATATACCTACCTGCATGCACACACAAGAACACACACAAGCACATATACCTACCTGCATGCACACACAGGAACACACACAAGCACATATACCTACCTGCATGCACACACAGGAACACACACAAGCACATATACCTACCTGCATGCACACAAAGATGAAGGGCTATTTCCTGTAGTCCCAACGTTCAGGAGATGAAGGCAGGAAAGTGAGGAATTAGAAGCAATCCTGGGCTACATCGCCCATTCTAAGCCACCCTGACCTCCATGACAAAACTGTCTCAAAAGGGAAAAAAAAAAAAAAGGAAATTTTGTGGATACATGAAGATGAGCCAAGTTCCTGTATTTGAAATACAAGGAAGTAGGTCTACCAGAGACTGAATAGATTTACTTCCAGTTTATTAGACCACAGGAGCAAAACTTAGAGCATTTTGTATCAGGTGTGCAAAGATACTCAGGTTACAAATATCCAAACGCACAAATGCACTTTCAAAGAAAGCCTTAAGCGGGCCGGAGAGATGGCTCAGAGGTTAAAAGCACTGGCTGCTCTTCCAGAGGTCCTGAGTTCAATTCCCAACAACCATGTGGTGGCTCACAATCATCTATAATGAGATCTGGTGCTCTCTTCTGGCCTGCAGGCCATACATACAGGCAGAACACTGTATACATAGTAAAATAAATCTTAAGAAAAAAAAAAACCCTCTTGTTTAGGGAAACAGTCTATGCTTGCCTAGCATCATAAAGCCTAGGTTTGATCCTAGCACTACATAATGCTGGGCATAGAGGTACACACTTGCAACCCCAATGCTCAAGAGGTGGAGGCAGGGACATCAGAAAGAAGTTCAAGGTCATTCTTTGCTACAAAGTGAGTTCAAGGATGTCCTGAGACTCTATCTAAAACAAAACAACAAACAAAAACCAGGCAGCAACAATGAAAACAAAACAAAGACAAAAAGAAGGAGGGAAGAAGGGAAGACCTTTCAGTCAGGGATAATGCCCCACGCCTTTAGTTCCAGCACTTGGGAGGCAGAGGCAGGTGAGTCTGTGAGTTTAAGGCCAGCCAGTGAACTCACTGGTCTATATAGAGAGTTCCAGGACAGCTAGAGCTATATAGTGAGACCCTATCCATCATTCCCAGCCCCCCCACACACAAATCAAGCAAACAACAATGACAACAACAACAAAAAAACCCAAACCAAAAATCCTTTAATCTTAAATCAAAGATTAGTAGACGCGGTGTATGGCTAAGGGATTTTTTGTATATGATTTTTAACCCTTTTTTCAGTGTGTATGTGTGTGTGTGTATACATGTGCCCATGCCACAGCATGCATATGATCAAAGGACAACTTGCAGGAATCAGTCCTCTCCTCCCATCATATGAATTCCAGGATCAAACTCAGGTCAACAGTCTTGGTGGCAAGCACCTGTACCTACTGATCCATCCCTCCAGCCCCTCTTTGTCTCTCCTCTAGGTTGCCAGCTGTAGCAAAAGTAAACAAATTGGCTTAATTTTCTTTATTCCAATATATTCTGCCTCTTATGATAGGTAGTTAATTTTTTAGTATCCACATCAGAAACTTCCATTCATTTTATTTACCCTTGGAACGACATCTACCATGCCAGCCCGTAGTTTAATGACTACACAGCTTAGGTGGCTCTGTATGCTGCTAAGCAACCTTGATACACTCTCCCCGTATGCTTTCTCCTGTTCTCTAAGACAACTGTGTCGTACGTTCTCTGTTCTCCGCAAAACCCATCTCCTCCACTTCCTCAGGCCCGCCCCTCTTTATCCGATCTTCCCAGATGCCCCCTTCCCTTTGCCCCCTTGACTCTTTTCTAAAAGCTTCTCTCTGTTCCATGCACATAGGGACTCTCTGCTCCTCTGTGAGACCTTTGCAAGTCTCCATCCCTCTATGCAAGTGGTTCTCAATTTTCCTAATGCCGCGACCCTTTAATACAGTTCCTCATGCTGTGGTGATCCCCCTAACTGTAAAACTGTTTTCATTACTACTTCATAATCGTATTTGTGCTACTGTTGTGAATCATAATGTAAATATTCCTGGAGATAGAGATTTGTAAAAGGGATCTCTACCCACAGGCTGAGAGATGCTGAAATGTCTTCATGGATAGAATCTAGCTGGGATGTTCCATGCCTTGCTCTTCTTCTAGTTCCTTGCCTTCTCTGTCTTCTTCCTAAACTTGATGTCAAGTTCTGAGTGGTTTTCTTTGTGATTTATACATGCTCACACCCAGTCACA